TCATTAGGAAAATCCGCCATTTTGATATTTTTATGTTTAGATCAAAAATTGTATTAAGACCACCAAGTTTCTAGTTTGAGACAAATCGGTTCTTAAACGGAAAAAACCGCCATTTTGATTTCGTTGATTTTTTGTCAGAAATCACAATTAGCGACCTTGACTCAACAACCCCCAAGCTTAAGCAAATCTTTTCATAAGTATAAGAATAGTAAGATTGTCCCCTATTTTGCTGTTAACTACGAAAGCGCAGAGGGCCACGGTGAAAAAAAAGACAGTTATATCTTCCATTAGTGCTACTGCTAATTGATATTTACATCTGTCAATTAGGCTAATTCCTAGTTCTGTCTGTTAAGTTAATGCTAATTGACACTTACATCTATCAATTAATGCTAATTAACATTTACATCTATCAATTAGGTCTAAGTGTCAATTAATCAGCATTAATCGACAGCCAGAACTGGGAGTCAGGCCTAATTGACAGATATACCTAAGGCCAATTAGTAGTAATTGACAGCTAGAACTGGGAATTACACCTAATTGACAGATGTAAGTGAACATTAGCACTAATTGACAGATATCACTGTCAAGTGTCAATTATATATTTTTTTCACTGTGATTCTTCTACGCTTTCGTAGTTTACAGTAAGATTTATCAAAAATTAGAATGATAGACGGAATGTCATCAGATTTGACACTGACTTCCATATTGTTGTATGAATAACTTGTCAAATCAGATACCTCTGTAACGTGAATTAAAAGTTTTGAGTAACGGGGCACATTATTAGTCAAAAATTGTATTCAGCGACATGTTTAAACAACGCGAAATTTAAAGTTTGAGACAACTCGATTAATATATAAGAAGGTCCATAAGTAATAATTTCTATTGTTATCAAAAATCAAAACCCTGTGCACCTACCAACTTTCAAGTCTCTAGCTCATCCGGACGTAGGTAAAAAAATTTAAATTTATCAATAGTGATGTATATTTTTATATTTACTACATAAGTTAACTACTCATAAATATAAAACTGCATAATGACCAAACCTTTATTATAAATGTAAACTACAAAAGAGTTTTACTTCAAATTACGTCGAGCAGTGTAAACATCACATTTAAGACCAGTTCATAATTCGAGCAGTGTTTTAGTGTGTCCTTCCGTCAATAACGTCAAACGAGAGAGAAAGAAAATTTGCACCACTCAAGATCAAAGACACCGACGCTTTATGTCGCTACTCAACGGTTAATATACTTTGATATAACCACACTACCAGCACTGGCAGACACGTGAAACGTACTGGCGGTGTAGTACGGGACCGACCAAGAGCACAGAATAACCACTATTACAGAAATGAAGGCTTGCGTCGGCACGTTTGATGTCGGGGTGGCCAAAATTTAAAGTGACACTCGCTGACAGTTGACGTTCTTGCCGGTTGTTACACTGGTAAAAATTACCAAGATTCTTATAAATTCGAATAATACACTGAGAAAAGGATTTAAATATATGTAACAAACTTATTTAGCAACATCCACTATTTCTTCTCTTAATTGAAGGTTAGTTATATAATTAGAAAAAATAAGGCTTCACAATAATTTATTTTGAAGTAAATTGTACTGATCGCTATATTAAAAGAGTTTTTACTTGAGGAACCAGACCGAATGCTCGTTGTACCTAATTCATCAGTTTTTTTAGATAACATTAACTCTTTAACAGAGGGATTCTATTACAAATTATTGATGTATTAATTAATTGTGTACTTTCTTGGAAAACACCTTCAACTGTGATAGTTGGATCTAGAAAAATAGATTAAACTGATAATAACTGGCATTAAAAATGCAAATACTTCCGAACTGTCATTTTGAAAGCCTTTTATGTGTTTTAGAACCTTATCATATGTCAATAATACCATAAACAATCCTTGTATTAAGACTTTCGCCATACTCTCTTGTAATAATTTGACAACTCATTGGATAAATCTGTGATTTTTTACAATTCCATTTTTGTAAACAAAATTAATCTAGTAGTCGTTGGTAGAAAAGCATCACCAATAATTGGCGTATCGATTTATTACACTGTTTTACACTAGCACTAGCTCAAATGGCTTTTCTTTCGAGTCTTCTGTGCAGAGTTGTCCAGTAATTGCAGCACTTCATTAACGTGGGAGTGGAGTCGACCCTCATGTTTTGCAGTAACCTCTTTTTCTTATTTGTCTGTATGAAGATAATCGTTTAGATAGAGCCAGGGTGCATCAATGATACATCTTAGGACTTTATTTTGGAAAACTTATATTATGGCACATCCTCGTAGCTGTATTTCATAAATCCAGACTGGACTTAGGATTTGTTTATAAATCATATGAATTTGTTGTATACATAAATTTGCATTTTTAGATGCATAATTATTAGAACTTTGCATTAAATTGAGATTTGAAGAAAAGTACTGTAGGAAAAAGGTTGTTATAAATAAAACACGTACCCATACTGACTATTAATTTTAATAAACCAAAATACGAAAAACACATATTACAAAAATCAGATTAATAAAAATATCAATATGAAAAATACCTACACATCAAAAGGTAAAAAATTTTAGACAAAGGAATATGCCCTAGGTCCTAAAAAATACAAGGTAAGCGCAAACTGCTTGTATTCATTGGATTGTCTTCTAGCTAGAGGCTTTTTGTTTTTAAATTCCGCTTGAGATTTAACTAATCTGCAAATGGTTGGTTTAAAAATTGTGGCCCAACCGAAGGATATTTTTGGGACTGGCACATGTATTATCAAAATAGAAACAACAATATATCTTCAATCTTCAAAGTTAGTCATTCTTTTGCTGGGACCTAAAAAAAATATTTAAATTAAAAAAATACATAAAAACAACACTTTTATATTATTTTTAATACCTGGTGTACTGAGAAAATCGTCGTGGGATTTAGTAGGGTACAGATTCGTTCAGAATGATCAATTATTTCATTTGTTGTGGGTGTGTGTCAGAATATTGTCAAAAGTACATTTTCAAATAAACATTTCCGAGTTGATCCAAATGAAAAACTACTGGGCTGGAAATGTTTTTTACACAACTGGTAGCTTTTGTGTAATTATTCACTGGTTATATTAATCAAGTTTTCTCGACTACGGGCTCTTAACAACATGGGAAACCTAAAAAAATACAAAATACATTGTCATAGGTACATAAATATAATTTGATTTAAAAATGATAATAAAATAATTGTTTTGATTAAATAGCCAAATAAATAACATACAGTTAACATTGCTGCATTTGAAAAGTACCTCGTTTTACTCGAAGCCGTTCTCGATGGGATCTGCTCCATGGTCTTTTAATGCAGAACTGATAAGTCAAGTAATATCTATTTCCTCCGAATTAAATTTTAGATCTTACGGAGTAAATGTAATTTATGTGACAATGGACAAAGAAAAAAGCAGAAAACTATTTTTAACTATACAGTTCACTGGAAAAAAACAACTTAAGTTGTAGATGTATTTCTGTGAGATGTACAGACAGTTGTCTTTTGTGTTACAGTTTATTCTTTTTCATCTTATTTACATATCTGGTTATCAAGAGCAAAAAATATTTATAAAAAATGTTAGATGAAAAATACCATAGCTAAAAATGAAGTTTATTTTACAACTTGCAACAAAAACCAGGAGAAGAGAAATCAAATTTGATTTAAAAGAAAGGTTTTAGTTTATTCTAATGGAAACCGGAAACACAAACAAATCTATAGCTGTTCTTTTATTCCACATATGCTCGATTATCACATGATTAAAAAAATCTACTAGTTCTACTCCGTTCCACGAGGTACTTTTCAAACGTAGCACATAACGTTGGTAAATTTGGATATCTGGATCAAAATTTAAACTACATATTTGTTAGGTAGAGCTATCAGTTTTCCTCATTTAAATTGCATAATTTATTTTGCATACCTTTCTGAAACTTTGGAAAATGAAAAATAACTAGTATTCGAATCCGTTCGAGGTAGACATGGGCGATAAACACATCTCTTTCTTTTAGATTCCATCAGTTCACTAAAAAATTATTTTGCTTTAATAAAATAAATAAAAATATGTAAATAGCTCAGCACATACCACAAAAAGTCTTCGATTAAAAACATGTTTACTGAACAATGTTCATAAAATAGACAAAGGAAAGCACTAAACACAGATTTACTCAATAATTGTTAAAAAATATACAAAGGAAAACACTAAAATACACTTAAATTCGATAAAAAAAATCATAAATACAAATGACTGATCCTGACACATCAAAACAACACTCGTGACATGGATGACAGTTTTGCCGGTTATAAAATGGCGGCCCTGATCATGCGCAAAAAATTTTGGACCCCAAAAATTGACGTGCCTTCGCTTCTGTAAAAGTATTCTGTGCCAAGAGTTGATAACCTTTAAATTATGTCACCTGATTGGATGCGCAGACACGATGCGCAATCGGTTATCACTTAAAAAGTGACCCTTGCGATATTTATAAAAAAAATTAATACCTTGTATTTCAGAAACAAAGTAACTCTGCACACATGTTTTTAGGAACTTTTTTTATAAAACGAATTCATTTAGATCAAACGAAAGGAAAAGTTACGCATGTAAATATGGTGACCAAGAATGTGCAAATAAAATACGCATATTAATCGCTACCAATGGGACATTTAAATCGATGCATTTATAAAGAAGATAAAACGAAAAAACAATATAAGTACATAAAAATCCCAAACTAATGAATTTATCATTAACTTTAAATAATTTAATTTACCCGGGGCCATTACAGAAGATAACTATGATTTTTCTAATTAGTTGCCAGTGCGCATCTACGTGAATACTACACCTTCTTACATCATGGATTTAACTAAAATTAAAATAACATAATAGTAGGCTGAAGTGATAATAAAAATTAGATATTTACTAATAATATCATTGTCCCGATTTTTTTTTCATTAATCTTTAATCTGATAAAACTCTATGTACCTACCTGATATTTTATATCATCAAAAAATACTATTTAAGAAACCTTAAAATTCAGATAACTTTAACAAATTTACTGCAGTACCGCAGTTAAAATTTGATTCTCCAAACATGAGGATCCTCACTTTTATAATATTTTTATGCAGTACGATATATAATATAAGCTGTTTCAATTATAAAGGTGGGCTGTTATGGAAAGCAGAAGAAGTTGATTTCATTTCTACCCAATGTCAAGAAAGTATCAAGTTGTTTAAGGAAAACCTATGTACTAATGGACAAGATGATATTTGGGCTCTTCAAAGTAAATATAATTTTTCTCTTGACTTTTATAATTCTAATATAATAGCTATTTATACAACCAGTTACGAAATGCTTTATTTCATGTAACTAGTAAATAAACAAGTTAAATAAAACGAAATTTCGTAACGTGTTACATATAATATTTGTTCTAATTTTGATTAGATTATTTACAAAATTGTGTTTTCGTAAAAAATTACTGTCATCTAGGCAACCAATATAACTTGTTTGTACTGTTAGTTGCATATGCATAATTTTAATTTTTTTATTGAAAAATAGAAAATCGTATTAATATAATCTCAACGACTTTTAGTGTGTTTATATTACAAAAATGCGGGTTATTTTAACGTGTGTTGTGTTTTAATTATTTTGCGCTTATTTAGAATGAAAAATAAGGACCAAAAAAATATTAATACTAGGTTGTAAGATTAACTAAGTTCTATTTTTATAAGTCAACCGGTCCTTCTTTTAATGATAATATTTATGTTGGTTTTTAAAACCGAAAAAGGTTTATTTTAATTTATTTACCTTTGGTAACTTGTAACAATAAATTTTACCCAATTTTATCATAAACAGTGACATATTTTGTAATCAAAGCAAGTGCCAAAATTATCTACCTTACCCCACTAGTTGCACAATGTTAAATATTTTGAAACTGGTTACAAAAAATTCAGTGTGTTACCAGTTGCACAAAAAAATAAATAAAAATAAATCTTTTTTGGTTTTAAAATCAATATAGGTATATATGATTTCTAAAAGTATATTAAAAAAAGAAGGGCAGGTTGACTTTTAAAAATGGAAATTGGGTGCACTTAAAACCTAGTAATACTGTTGTTTTGGTCCTTATTTTCCATTTTAAAACAGCAAAACTAATTAAAAAACAGTACACGATAAAATAACCCAATTTCTTAAGAGCTAAATAACTTTAACAAGTGTAAACACACTACAAGTCGTTAAGAATAAATTAAGAGCGTTATCCATGTGCTAAAATCGACTTAAAAGTAATTCCAAGATTCCAGGCCTATTTTTTAATATTTTTTTATAAAATTTATCATGCTTATTTATGGAGTCGTGCATAATGGGGCTACGGAGTCCAAATTTTGATATATAAAAACGCTGCTGCAGATTTGACGTTTCTGAGACGCTTACTTGCATATTATGTAAAAACTAATAAAATTAATTTTTAGTTCTTTATGATAAACGCTTTTATTTATCAATTGACTTTAATAATTATGTGTAGATATTTATTAAATTAAAACATAATTTCATAAAATATTTTATTAAAAATTTCTACAAAAAAGATACCTATAGGAGAACAAGAAAATTCATAAACATAAACCTATATCAGTCTTAAAAATATTTTGGCAAAAGGCAAAATAATCACAAGGGTGATAAACTGTTGATGAAGCGTGTAAAAACTAGTTGACCGTGGACCGTAATGGAAAAATTGGAGAAGTATAAAATTTAAATTTTTCAGTATTTTCGTTGCCAATGAATGTTTATAGAAAAATGTTTCGAGTTAGATTTATGTGGAAAATGTATATATTAAGTTAACATCTAAACATTTACAGAGGTGCTACAATGGGTTGCACAAAATAACCGAAAAGAGCTTGTAATAACTAGATAGGAAAGTGATGTGTTGGACACATCAGATTTTTTATTCTAAAATTATACATTAATATTTTAAATTTATATTAAAGGTTGACTACAATTTGGTTTCACTTACAACCTAGTCATAATGTTGTTTTGGTCCTTATTTCCCAGTACAAATCAGCACAAACTAATTAAAACACAATACACGTCAATATAACTCACTTTTTCGATAACTAAATAGCTTTAATTTCGCTGCAAGTAGTTGAGAATAAAGAATTAATAATGATGTCCTAATCGTGGTTCTAATTGTCAATAATATGATCCATATGCAACTAACAATACAAGAAAGTGATATTGAATGGTTACATGTCAAAACATAATTTTAGTCAAAATTAGAAAAAATATTGTATGTAACACGAAATGCTGTTTTATTTAACTCATTCAAGTTGCGGAACCTCGTTCTGCTCGTCCCGTAAGTATTGACTCTTTACATAAAATAAGGCATTTCGCAACTGGTTTTATAAATAGCTGGTATACAACACGTTACGAAATGCCATTTCATTTAACTTGTTCATGCTGCGGTACCTCGCTCTGCTTGTCCCGCAAATATTAACTCGTTACATAAAAGTAGGCATTTCGTAACTGGTTTCATAAATAGCTATTTCGTAACCGTTTTATAACGTTCAACATTATGCAGCTGGTTGCGTAAAGTAGATAATTTTAACAGTTTCTGCGATTACAAAAATGTCACTTGATATGTCAAAATTAGAAAAAATATATAATATGTATTTTATTTTGTAGTGTTGGATGCTAGTTCCAAAATTCCTATTGGGATTTTATCGTACAATTTTGGGGAACTGGGAAATTTTAATCAGTGCCTAAAAATAAAATCCAAAAATTATGTCATTATGGGAAAGTATTGTTTGGGAAATATCGCAGTTAACACATCAGCTATAGATGAGGACTCTATATACATTAAAAGTCATGTAAGTAAAACATCAATAAAATATAGTCACTCATCAGACTGCAAAAAGTGGCACGTCGTGTTCTATGCGTGGTATTTGTAGTTGGGTACAAGGGGAAGGATACACAATATGTAGTATTGTCGTGGTAGTGTGAGCAGTCATATCACTTGTGAAATTCAACATAAAGTTACTTATCGATGGATTTTTTTCGTTTTTTGCTGGTAAGGAAATATATGCTTATTAACGTCAATAACAATAAAAATCCCTTTAAAAGCATTTTTTTTTTTTCAAATGGTTTTGCTACATGCGCTCGAAGAATTTTGACCACGTGAAAGGGTATTTAGCTTTTTAACAAAATTCAGGATGTAGTTTAAAATCGATTTTACTAAACCTAATATGATATTTTGCTTGCCATACATGGGCGAAGTTAGGGGGGGCTTGGGGGGGCTAAGCCCCCCCAAAAACCAAATTAGCCCCCCCAAAAATAATTCAAACATTTATCGCACATCCATCCACACATTTCAGATTTCAGAAAAGAAATTAATAAATAAAAAAAAATCGTGCCTTTTGATTGATTCTGAAATTTTATATTTAGTTCAGGAGGCAGTGAATTTTACTCGTACTCATTTTTCCAATCGGTGTATATGAAAATAAACTGTTCTCTTAGTGACAAAAAACCAACATTTTGAGTCTGACACTTATTTTCCCAGTCATAAATATTTTACATTTACTAAACTACAACATAAAGTTTATAAAAATAGCAGTTTGGAATATATCAGATAGTGGAAAGTGAGTGTGGCAGAAAATTTAGCATATAAATTGATACAATCATGAACTGTTAATAATAATAAATCTGGCTGATTTACGAAATTGGCAAATGAGTCTGGTAACATCTTCAAAATCGAAAAAATATAATATTTTTGATTTTATTTTCCCGGGTTTGAAAATTTGTCACGTGATAGATTATATTATAATTTTACAGCTCTATTTTATAGCAGATCAAATACCGTTATTTTAAAACGCTTCCATGAAAAATTTCCGGAAATGTTCCTTTTGGTGGGTACCCTGAACGAAATTATACTGAAAATTGTTTTGACAGTTGAGAAGCTCTTTTATGCATATGTTTTATATGCTGTTCTATGGCCAGCTTTGAAAATTTGATTTTAGTCGTTTTAATGCATGTCTGTCTAGTTTTGAAATTTGGATATTTTGGTGTAAAATATTCTTACCCAATACCTACCACTGGTGCCTAAATTATTATCAGTAAATTTTTGCTCACTCACGCATATTTTAAGAAAAATATCCATCGTCTTCAACTCAGGATAAATTTCAAAATATTCGTAAGTTCGAAAAAAATTTCGGAAATAATTTAGGCACTAGTGGTATTCTAAGTGAAAATATACGTCTGGCTGACAATTACAATCACGAAGGCCTGCCAGACTCACAAGTAGTGTCCGACCGAAGGTTCGGTTACGGTTTTGGCCAACTTCGGCTTAAAATAAGAGTTTCGACTACTACTTTCGAAAGTTTTCGTATCACACTTGGTTGTGTCCGGCACAATGGCGACTGTGCCGGGTGCCATTTCTACACAGTGCACGTACTTCTCTGCTTTGTTTCAAGTGAACAGTCTTCAGTGCTCCTGGCCTAATTTATTCGGATCGAAGGAGCAATTTTTTAGGTGAAACGTGGAAAAAATATTATTTCTAGCCTACCACGTTAGACTGTTTACTTATGAATATTAATTTAATTATAAGTAACAAACATATTTAATTATCTGAATTTGTTTTTTTTTTAATAAAAATTACATTATATATAATTCCATTCATAATATTATTTTTTGTTACAAAAAATCTAGAGACAGATGCAGGAATGATTGCTACTTTGTAATTAACTTTTTTTTTTTTTTTAGTTTCAAAAGTAATAAAAAAAAACAATGTCAATAAATTTATTAATGGCTTCTTGATCACTTAAATAAATAGGTAATAAGTAAATGTAGCTAAAATTTATAGTACGAGTTAATTAGTCTTAAACAAGGATTACAATAAGATATTGCAAATTTCAATAAGAGATTGCCTTAAAAGAAAGTTCTTATTTCTGTTTCGGTTTCGACCGAAACTAAGAAAGGTGCCGAAATTGGGTTTTGGTTTTGGTTATAAAACCGTATTTCGGTCGGACCTGACAAGCCAGGTAGTTAAAAGAGGAGAGGAATAGTAATCTAACGTGCAGAATTTAGCGCGCCTGACGATCATTAGACAAGTCCGGCAAGGCTTTCGGGGTGTTCCACATTAGCCAGATTGTATTTTAAGCTGTTATCATAGTATATATTTTTCCAGTACTGAGAACACTGGTAACAGGGATCCTTACTGGGCATTGCCAACTAAAAGGACACCTTAGTAGAAAATAGTGAGTGAAGATTCTGTGAGGAGAAGGACGAAACCTTCATTTACATTCTAACTGAATGTGTAGCACGCCAGATTCCAAGGGTACTATACCTAGGAGCATATCAAATAGAAACTTGAAACCGCTCCAAATCCTACACTTCCTTGAGAAGATATAATTGAAAAGGTCGTTATAGGCATTGAGACATTTCCTTGCTGCATTAGCGACAGAAGAGGATACAATAGATATTTTAGGTCGCAGTGTATTAACACCCCATTCCCAACATAACATAACATAGCGAGAAAACTGCAAAATAATGAAATCCACAAATCACAGTTCATATTTTGGACATCCAACTACTAATATTTTTAAAATTTTAAATTCTAACAAACTGTCAGTATATTTTTTAGTCATTAAGATAACATATACGTTAAAAGTAGTTATTTTTGTTTAGAATCGATAAAAAATAGCATTTTAATTTTATTTGGGCCACATTTAAAAAAAGTAAATTTTAATCAAATTGTATGAAACTAATTTAATTACGAGTATTAAAATTAAAAACCTAAAAGTGGCGGTGGAGATGAGGACAGAGCATTTGCCTTCCACGCGAATAGCCTGGGTTCGAATCTGGGCTAGGGGCTAATTTTCTTTATGTTTTTTTATTTTATAAATTATTAAAATTCATAAATTATTTTAAAATTGCTTATTTTGTCTAAACTTAAAATAATTTTTTAAATTTGTAGATTTTCGTTAGTGGTTCGTAGAAAAAATATACTGTACAACTTGAGTGAATTGTCCATATCTACTTTTGTTGCGAAAATTAGGGAAATTTTTGTGATGAAAATTATTCAGTTTTTTCACTTATATATGTTATTTTATTCATTTTCATAGATTCGCCAGAATTTTTTTACTTAACTTCAGTATACCTCTAAAACTATTATATATTATATGACTAGGGCTAGGGCTTTAGCCCCCCCAGATCTGATGACATAACTTCGCCCATGTTGCCATACTTTTTTGTGTCATCACATCGGTTAATATCCAAAAAAATATAACCTTAAAATAGGTGTAAAATCTAAACCAAAATTCGAAATAGCTATTAATGAAACCAGTTACGAAATGCCTTGACATAATTTATGTAACGAGTAAATATTTGGGGGATAAGCAGAGCGAGGTCCCGCAATATGAACGAGTTACATAAAACGGCATTTCGTAACGTTTAGCATACAATATTATTTTTAATTTTCACTATATTATTTATAAAATTGTGATTTGATAAAAAATTACTGATATCTTGGCAACCAATATTACTGTTTTCTTGTATTGGTAGTTGCAAATGATTCCCTTCATTTATTTATTGACAGATTCTATACAGGTCAATTTTTTTTACTAAAAGTACAATTTTTGAAAAATTATTTAAGTTTCCCCCACTTTCCATTTTTGAGTTGTGACGTCATTGACAATTTTTTTAAAAAGTAACCCCAATTTTTTTCTTGATTTTGATAGAAAACAATATTTGCAATATCTTTTATAACAATTTTTTTAAACAAATGTCATTTAAAGATCAGACACATCTTTTTTTATTTTGAGAACACAATAAATGAATTAAAGAAAATTATTTTTAATTAAGTGTCTAATCTAACACAATAATAATAATAATAATAATAATAATAATAATAATAATAATAATAATAATAATAATAATAATAATAATAATAATAATAATAATAATAATAATAATAATAATAATAATAATAATAATAATAATAATAATAATAATAATAATAATAATAATAATAATAATAATAATAATTAAAAAGAATTTAAAGACAGTTTCACAGAAAAATATTTCAAACATATTCTTCTAAATTAGATGTTCAAAATGTCCTCCACCAACGTATATTATTACAATAAATATTATTATTACTCATTAAATACAACCAAATCTATATCAAGCACACAAATTGTTGACCCTCAGCTATAATACTGTGAAGCGAAATCAACCTTGTCCAAGCCCGCGACCTTCAGCTTGCGACTCGACTTTTGGTCGAAACACTGCTGACGTTCCGCATCTCGAATATACCACAACAAGCGGTACGTGACGTTGAGTCATAGAGATGGAATTCTAAGACATTCTATCGTCGTCTAGAGACTTATCGTACAGAGTGGGCTTTGTATAAATAGCGCGACTTATCGGCGGGCCAGCAGTTTAGAATAAAGTGTTGGATAGAAAAGTTGAATTGTAATAAATAAATTAGAATTGTAAATTGTGCATAAGTATTATATAAATTAATTAGTACGTCATAAATAAATTGTAAATAGTGTGTTTTAAATAAATAAATGATAAATAAATTAAATAAACGTCACATTGATGTTAGAAGTGAAACTGTAAATAAATAGTGGACAATAATGGCTAAAAAACTATGTCATTTGAAAGTGGCTGAATTGCGTCAAAAATTAGAAGATCGTGATCTGGAAACGACAAGGAAGAAATCAGAGCTGGCAGAACGACTTATATAAGCACTAGAAAATGAAGGTTTGGATCTGGAAACGTTTCTATTTTCGGATGATGCATCTTCTATAATTTCTTCAATTTCTTCCGATATGGAAAGTAAATTGTCTTCTATGAAAATCGCTAGATG